TTGTGCTGTCATTTACAACTACTGCAATGCAGTGCTCACCTGTCCGCATTGTGCGCGTACATTTATCAATAAAATCGATTATGTTAGCCACACAAGAGCACACCAACGACAATTTGAACGGAGTTGATGAGGTAGCCGAGGCCGAAATCGGTCGAGGATAGTAGTAGTGATACTTCCGAGATCATAGATTCCGAGATATTTTGACCAAAATGACTGTACTAAATATGTAGTACAAAAATGTGGGTAGAGGTTGCCTTTACAAAAAAATTAGAAACATCATAGATCATTTTAATTTTAGCGACAGAATCCTTTGAATAAAAAACTTTTCTTTATTTGTCCCATTCAAAGACTTTTGTGTTGTAGAACTATCACCCACGTTTTCCCCAACTGGCTATAAGACATCAGTTAGGGCACTTGAAGCAATTAAATGTTAAAGTACGCACAACAATTAGAACAAAAAAATTATATTCGCTAAATGGACTTAGGTAGGTAGGTAAAAAACAATTGCTATAAAAATAATCAATATAATAATGAGTCATATTTCATTATAACATTTGTCATAAAATTAACATTTGCATTCATATCGTAATATTTAAAATAACATACATAATGGAAGTCAACAGTTATTTTATTGTCAAAAGAAGTAAAAATTAAAGTAGGTAACGTAACAGACTACTAAATGAAGATTATTGTGTTTTGACAATGAAAGAACAACACAATAAATTAGAACTAAATATGAAAGAACAACAGCTCCTGGAAATAACGTTTATAACTAATATTGTGCAACAAGTACAATAATATTTAAATATAATGTACAAGATATAATAAGGCAGAAAATAACGTGACTAGTAGACGTGTTTAGATACTTTTTGAAATTATTTGAAAGTATTATATATGATAGTATCGTGATTTGTGATTAAGACATGAAAATAAAAAAAATGAAACAATTTGACTGACATTGTCATACATCACATCTATGGTTTTTATTGTTTTATCCTTTTTAGAGATGTTATTTAAACTACCTAATACGAATACCTAGGTACATATTTATAAAGTGAAAATAACGTTTATGTGACATTTACTTTAAATTCATAATCGAATCGTATGTTAAAGTGATTAACAGCTTCGTTACTTAAATAAATTTTATTAATTTCTCTAAGCACGTCTTCATTAAAAAAAACGGTCAAAAGCAAAATATTTAGAACTTGATTTCATTATCGATATATACACACATATTCAACAAATATACAGATTATTTTACAACAAACACGACTAGACTCAATTAAATGAACAATTTCGGAAAACCTTAAAAGTCCGCAGACTTGGTGTCTTCTCAGACAATGGTGTATTTGGTACTTCGATATCAAAGAGCGATTCGATATTACAGCAATCTTTCGGTGGGTACATTTCGAAATTCTTAATGCATTAGTTTAATTTTTACTATAGAAAGCAAAATTTTTAAACAAACATTACTCCGAGCTAAGGATTTTATGCCACCCTGAGTCCCGCAAGCAACGTTAGAAACTGGTGAGAAATATGTAAACTATTGGTTGCAAATACATATAAAGCTATATGAATGAATATACATACTTTCTAACTTACAACACAATTACATTATAAGGAGAACAGTTCACACATGGCGTAACAAACTATATCTTTGGTTTTTTAAAACATGTTTTATTTTGCTTTAATATAAAAATATTTAGCACCTTAAGGATTGAACGGTCATAACGCATAGAATTATTAAATAGAATTCTGTATAATGATTAGAATTATAGAACTTTTACAAAAACGTTAAAACTAAGAAGATTGAGCAGATTACTCATTGTAGATGTCGCTTGTGTGTGTGTGTATATTATCCTTAAATATTGACAAAACGGAGATTGTTGCTATTGTGTGTTGACTATGACTTTAGAGTCTACATAAGATACGATTTCAAACAATTTTAATGTTTTTTTTAAATTTTGAGTTTGAGTATATTCATACACTAGCGACACCTATTATAAGTTTTTCTTATTTATTTGTTTTTACAAATAGAGTTACAAAATAGAAATGTAGTTTTTTTATCTATAGTGTTTGTTCTAAATATAGAAAATGTAGCTTTCTCAGTAGGGCTTTATAGTAAGGATGTCTAATTATGAAGTGTAATAAATGTTAAAATCTTCTCTATGTTTTTGTTAAAAGTTCAACATGTGCGTTCGTTATTTCTTAACTTAATTTACGTTATTTATAAATTTGTAAACATTATTTATTTCATATTATTATACTTAAGTAGACACTTATATACAAAAAATTCGAAAAGTTTCTATATATAAAATATTTTTGAGACCATGCAAAGTTATAATTCAGAATTAGAACTACAATTTTCGGCCATTGACAATGGAGATGACATTTCTTTGTAATAATAAGATATAGGTTTAGTGTCCCTACTTTGGCAATGTCACTTGTAATTTTTTTTACGTAAATACGTTGAAAACATAATACATCCGTCATCTAACATAGTCGATAGTTAATCAGTTACAGTCCGATGCAAACTTAATGGCGGCAAAATCGTGCGTTTCGATGCGCAGAACACGATACACAACAATAGACAACAGCGGGACGTAACGCACGACACGCATGCCTTTTAATGTGTGTGTTACTTCCGTACACATGCGCGCATATTCCTATCTACGTACAGTCGAGTCCACTTGACAGTCAACTTCAGAGCCGCCATTAGGTTTGCATCGGGCTATACCATCGTTCTTTTTAAGGTCTACATAAAGGTGGAATTAATCATTCTTGGGAATATACGTAATCTATGATTGTAATATACAGATGACTTGAGTATTAAATTATTTAAAACATTCTAGAGTAAAATTGGCAAAAGGTAATAGTTTCTTTAGCTTATATATATAATGGCTTATAAAACATTTAGGTACAGTATAAAATTACAATCTTACATCTAAATGCCCACTTATAGTGATTTAATGTAGACGAAAAAGATAGGTCAGAGCTATGCCAATCCCTTTTATAATTATAAAATACACTTATAACATGACTTTAGTATTCTTACCTAACAACATGTTTAAAAACATTCATTTTACATTCAAAAATTCTTTTAACAAATCCCATTTTCTTCGTTATTCATAGTGATAAGACTTAGTGATGTACTTCATTCAAAGACTATTAAAAAGAGATCAAAAATGTGGGAGAAATGTTCAGCCGGTATCAACAATATATTACGTTTCTACCTCTTTTCTACTAACTTTTTTATTTAATAGATTAAATATTCCAAAATTGAAATCCTACCATTATTTAAACATATTCTTTTACACAAAAAAAGTAACAATATGCCACTTTGGATCTCTTATTATTATTATATCATGTATATATTATATATTAAATAAAAGAAGATTGGAAGTGAGTAGATATTATAACCTTTCTTGCAACGTCTTGAATTACGTCATTGAATCTACAATCTGGGGTTGGATTACCTTCAATTTGTTGATTGTTTATTAAGACTTTGGAGTTGGTCAGGCGGTGTAGAGTGCAAAACAAATCAAAACCTCCAGTCCTAGACCAGTGCTGGTCTGAATATTAGATTACCTACCTTGGCTTCAGGACCTTGTTACGGGACAGTATAAAAATACAAATATAAAGTTACTCCGGACGACGGTTATCATCATGATGCCCATAATAGAAAAGTTTTAACATAAATCCAAGTCCCATAAAATATGGCAGTGATGAAACAAGTAGGTACTTAACGAGCGATAGACCCTTTGGGGTGTAGATTAGGTATTAACAGAATTCGCTGAGAAAATTGTTTTCAGTACTTTGGGCGATGCCTAAGGTTCTTTTTAGACGCTAGACAGATATTTCTCTTCTATTGCCGTTCAAAATGTCAAGTTCTTTTAAATGGTTAACCTATTTAAGGAACCAGATGTGGGCGTAGTGTAACAACGTTAATTGTTACAAAATGATATGCATTAACATGCAAAAAGTCAACAGAGTTTAAACGATAATATTACTTTCTATGTGATATTGCATAAGTCAACATTTTTTATTAATTATATAATTTTAGTAACTCTATTCCTACTTAGAATATTTTGGCCGTAGATGACTTTGACAGGAAACGTAGATGTTACTTATAACAGTAATTCCAGTTAATAAAATCTCCTTACTTTTAAGAAATATAATCATGAGTCAAGACATCTTCTCATTTACGTTTTATGCCTTTACACTTCAAAGGAATAACAATATTTACCAATTACTTCGTTTAAACGCGGTAAAAAGATTTTTGCCGCACTGTATTTTATGTGACTATGTCTTCGTGATTTTGTAAGCTCAAATACTTTGTGATGTTTATTGTTGGAATACAAAGACTAGGTAACGGTTCTATGAATCGACCATTCATCTTACATCCAGTTTTCCATCAATCTTATATTATACTAGCTGGTGCCCGCGACTTCGTTCGCGTGGCATTTGAAGAGCGCTGACTTAGTGAGTTCGATTCTCGGACCAGGCAAAATGTTATAGGGTTTTTCTGAGACATAAAATAGCCTAAGTTACTCCTTATTTAGACAGCTACTCGGTAGTAAAATATTATCAAAATCAGTCCAGCCCTTTTTAAGTTTACCTGAACAAACAGACAGACAGACAAAAAATTATTAAACTGGTTTTTAGGCATAGGTATCGTGCAAATAACCGTGTGAGCATGATCAAAACCTATTATTTGGACATTACAAACAGACACTTCAATATTATTTATTTGTATAGATAGATAGCAGTAAAAATATTTCTTGTCAAAACAAAATTATCATTTTTGCACCATATATTATTATAAGGTACGTGTCAAAACTGTTTACGTAAAAAGTCTGTGGTCTTAGACCAGTCGAATAGACGAGGTAAATTCAAATAGCGGTTTAGTTTGATGCAACCCTGTTTGGAGGTATCCTTGAAACTTTACAATAAGAAACATTAAGTTTAACTCAACCTTTTGTACGTGTTCATGTCTTACATCATTTAACTAAGTATACAACATTGCTGTCCCTTTCTAACTGTTCCTCGATCTGCAGGGCTGACAGGCCTGACTGACAGCACAACTCATCGAGACAGACCAGTCCGTTGTACGTCGTCTTCACTAGTGGCTGGCTGTGATCGCTGCGTATTGAAGCTGCGTCGTCATTGTGGAGCGTAAGTGGGTACTGTAAAATGAACAGATTCACATTAAATGTAGTCTTCGTACAAAAAAACAACGTTTTTATGAATGTAGAAAGGTAGGTACCAACTGATCTCTTAAATTATCATCCTCATTAATTAGGAGAGGGTCTACTTGAAGGGAATAACAAACAATCCTTTGCTGGTAAAAAAGAACGAGGTTATATTAACACGATGCGAGCCAGCAGTCTATCTAAGTTCTATAGTTTTACAAATAAGTGTGAAAATTTTCATTACGTAATTCAAGATAAGTAATTATGAAGTAGTTCAGTTTGTCTCCGTTAGATGGCGCCACCACAAGTTTTTCAGTGATAAGAACAAAAACATTCGTTTTTCTTGATTCATTAGAAAATCCGTTACGAATGGTATAAGTATACCTGATAATCTTACAGCTCATTCAAGTTACCTTATAAACTCGTCTAATAAGACCCTCCAGAACTCCAAACAATACCAATTTCCTCTCATTGATGGCTAGATCTTGCGGTTTCATTCTTCTGCAAAGATCTCGTACCGTGCTGCCGTACGTCATGCCGGCGTACATACGAAATAGGTCGCTAACTCGAGGTAGCTGCCGAGCTGTGAGTGGAGAATATACTATTCAGTTTATCGCGTAAACAGATGATGAGATGTTAGTGGCTCAACATAACTGCATACCGTAATATTAAATACCATGGACGATGATAAATATAATTACACCCACACTAAATATACTTGTGTTCTAAATATAATTGAATATTTAAACACTGGGTTGCCAAATCAAGTTTTGCAAATATGGTAGTGAAAAAAAAAATCTGCTTGTCGCTTGACTTATAGAGCGATTAAGGTATCATCAATCATCATCAACAGCTTTTAATAGTCCACTGCTGGACATAGGCCTCTCCTTAGAAAGGAGGTTTTGGCCTACTATACCACGCTGGCCAGACGGGTTGGTATAGGGTTTGTGTCAAGTTTTCCTTCTCTCTGCAGTGCTGTTGTTCTGCGTAGTTTTTTCCCTTATTCGGCTCTTACGACACCCACGGGATGAATAGGGGTGGTGACACTCAGTATTCTTAATGCGTCACCACACGGACGATTAAGGTACAGAGGACCCGAATCAATACAGTTTACAAAGGCCCGGGATTTTGAGATATAAAACGTTATATCTCAAAATCCCGGGCCTTTGTAAACTGTATTGATTCGGGTCCAGAAACTTTAGAGTGGAGACTCGGTGTAATATAATTTGTCTAACTTCGTGTTGTTGAAAGTTTCATTTATCAGCAACAAATAATTATTACATAATACCGATACATTACTCGCGTATCTTTCCACAATCATATTTGTAGTAACAAAAACTGCATCTGTGATTGAATTAAACATATCTATTGCTTAAACTAGAAACTATTAACATCATAACTGCTAGGATTTTATTTTACGAAAAAACTTGATTCTAACTATTTTCAGTCTCAAAGTCCCGGGATGCTCTAAGATTGGTCTCGTCTTATGATGACTAGTGTTAAGGGACCGTGAGACTGCTAATTCAGTTCAAAACCTAGATTGGACTATCACTTTGCTTGCCTGACCTTATTTATCGGACTATAGGAAAGAGAACAGACAAGCTAGGATCATACAAATTCTCATCTCACTCTGGGCAGCTAGACAAACCAATATCAGAACACAATGACCACTTTAGTCTTAAAGCCTAATGTTGCCTGTTCGTCTATTTACTGAATAGAGTAAGTAGTAGACATGGGAATTATTGCTACTTTTAAATCATATTCATTTGATGAACTGATTGGTTTTAGTCACAGTGATTTCACATGTGTTTGTCACGGACAAAGGTAAATGACATTAAAGTCAATCATAATTCTTTTTATCAAAGATTACGACTTTCTTTTTTTTATAGATTTAGACCTTTCGCGAGTCTTACGCTAGCGTAATAGTAATAATTAAGTAGCAGTGGTTTTGTAAATCAATCACAGGTCGTGTGATATGATTTATAGATCATATGATTGTTTACACATAGTTGTGATTTCATTCCATTCCTAGTAAGTAGTGTTTCACTGTCCAGTTCTTAGTTCAGTTTATTCTTAAGAGGTCTACGCAGTCCTCTGGAATTAGAATCAGTATTAAAGTACTTACGTGATCTTGCACAAAACTCGACACATTGTTTTTGCAGACCCGCACAACGAGTCAGCTGCCTCAGTTTGGGGGTAGCGCTGTAAACCTGTAAAATGTGCGACCACAAATCACCATCACGTCATCTAATGTTGTACTACTTACTCGCAGTTAGTACGTTCGTGGCAAAGTGTGGACCGGATTTACTGGAGACATACTCACAGAAAACCAGTGTTATTCAATTCTTTTGTTGTTTTTTACTGAGTGAGTGAGGTTGTTATTATACGCAATACCGTCAATACCCATGTGATCGTTTGCCCCCTATACCGTCAAAAATAAACACTTGACACTAAACAAATTATTTGCCCTTTTTCGCCTTACTTGTTCACTAAACAAATATTTGAAAGATTATAATATTCATATTTGATTAGATTATGTGTGGGATCGGGTTCGATTCCCGGGTCGGACCAAATGTTTGTATGATCTGCAAATATTTGTTTTGGAATTTGGGTATTTTTATGTATGAATTGTAAAAAAAATGTATATAAGTCTATCAGTCAATCTAGCTTAGATGGCGATGTGTGTGAGATGTCCGAAAATATAAAATATATCTATATTAGTTTGTTTGTTTGTTTGAAGGCGCTAATCTCAGGAACTACTGGTCCGATTTGAAAAATTCTTTCAGTGTTAGATAGCCCATTTATCGAGGAAGGCTATGGACTATATATCATCACGCTAAGACCAATAGGAGCGGAGCACCAATGAAGAATGTTTCGAAAACTGAGAAAATTTATTACTATTGAGAGACGCAGACAAGTTGCGCGGGTCAGCTAGTAATTAATAAAGATACCAACCTGAAAGTCTGAAGGCCACTTCTTCTAAAAAAAGTTCGGTCAGAATTGAGTTCCGATCAACTCTCAATCTCGCAACTTACATAAAAGGTATTTTCGTAGTAAAATAGTAAAGTATTATAACGACCAGCAGATTACCGAGTCAATTTTCGGTTACAATACAATACTGAAATTCTTTTATTTATTTATTTTTTTTTTTAAAAGACAACTCCCGCATTAGGAATATATCCTGTGTCGCGGGGGACTTTACAAACATACATGAAACGGACACAAAGAACACCCAGACTCAGAACAACAATTTATGGATCACACAAAGTGTCGTCCCATGTGGGGATCGGACCCACAACACTCGGCGTAGTAGTAAGCGGCGTGCCGACCGCTTAAACCACTACGCCATCCGTGCAGTCTTTACATTACAGTAAAGGTTACAATTACAGTAAAGGTTGGATGTTTATTACTTTACCACGAAAATACCTTTCATGACAGTTGTGAGATCGAGAGTTGTACAGAACTGAATTGTGACCGAACTTTTATTACGAGAATTGGCCTTCTGGCACGTTTATTAACCTGGTACAGCAGAATAAGGCAACAACAGAGTTTTAGTTGCCTATAATTATCTAAGTGAGCACAAGGCAAGCATTTGTAATTTGTTTCTTTTCTGATGTATCATTTATTGGCAATCTAATTAATAAATACGATAAAATAATAATTGAATATAATTGAATATTATTTGTAATTCGAGTCGCAATTGAAATTAGATTTAATTGAAAAGACTTACAGCACAATATTGAAAGATAGGCACCAGCGTCACCACACCGTAGTACACGAGGTTTTGTACACAAGCGCGTACCAGACTTATCTCCACATCAGTTAGGGCAGCTATCTTTGACACGTGGTTGAACCCATCTATGTAAGGTAGAATCTGGAACCAAGAAGTTTAATATTTTTTAATTAACCTTTAAAATAAGTAGGATTATAGTAAAAATAAAATGTTTTCCGTAAGCCCATAGCAAAAGACCTGATTTTTGTATTTATTTGTCTAAACATTTTGACCCGTGAAATTGGAGCTTGCGGCTTGTGGGTTTGCTCTCAAATAGAAAAGCATTGCTTAGAAGTGTTGTGTATTTTCATGTTTACATATTTATATTATAAGTTATGTATATAAAAAAGACTTTATATACAAGTAATACAAGAATGTAGGTATTGCAAAACTTTTATTTTACTCCGTCCAAAATTGTTAATAATACTGTTTTATAATTATTTTCAGAGCAAGGAAACGTGCTCACGTTAGTTTCAGGGTAACGCATACCGTTTCTAAGGCTAGACTCTCTCACCAGATTTTTGTAACATAGCTCGGCCGGCCGTCGTGAAAGCTAGTCGGTAAAACTGTGTGATGATTTCCAAGGAAAGGACTTTTTTCCCATATTTTCTTACTCATTAATTTTCTAAATCATGATTAGATACATTTATATGTAACAACATTTCTGTTTTGTAGAATTCGGAAAGTTTCTACCAATTTCGCATTTTTAACAAAAAATCCAAACTATTATTACTTTTAGTTATAAAGATTTAGCTATATAACACCGACTACGTGATGAAATCAATAGACTATTATTTAGCGTTACTTGGAAACCGGTCGTATATCACAAAAGCTTCTATTTGAGGTTGGTTTCAAAGAAATAGCTTTGTATAACATGAAAACCGTATTTTTTCTTATATATTTTCTTGTAAAGCAGAAAACGTATAAAAAGGAAACCTATCAAATCAATACACTTCTTTAATGAAAAAGGAACAAAAGATGTATTAGAAAAACAACTTCGTATTCATAAGAATCATGCAGAAATAGCTTTAAACCACAGAATGTTTCAAGTTGTTTTTTTAAAAGGTAATATCTAGTTTTATTTCCATAACAAGTAATAATAATAATTTCACAAATCTCACACACGGTCCTTCGATTCCGAACTATACAGGGCCTGTGCTATGGTATCCAGACTGATTAAGATCCTTATATATTTCAAAATACTTAATATAAGTGAATACTCTTATGCCTAATACTTTTATGATTTATATTATGCCCAATAAGATTGTAAAGAGTTAAGATCAAACTTCCGATTTTTCATTTCTATTACTCAAAGGGCCCGGTAGACGCCTTTCACGTTACATGAGTGGCATCAAATAACACTTTGCTAAGTTAGCGTCTTTAATATACTTCTGCTTCTATATATTCTTACCTTTGTCTGGCGCAATACTAACTTTAATATCACCTCTTCAGCAGGACAAGTGTCAGATTACGAGTTTTTCAATGAGTAATTAATTCAACGCAAACAAAATTCAAGTGATCGCTCTGTCGCTGGCATCTAAGTGACACTTATGCTTTAACACTTAAATATGTATTGAAGATTTAAAGAGTGTAATGATTCGAACATGAGCAGTTTCCATTTAAACAATGAATTTTACACGACGATCACACGTATACTAACCAGAATGTAAACAAGATGGCTGAATGGTGAGTTAATGATACTGCGTATATTTACACAGCTATACACTTATTACAATTTGCTATTGGCCATAAAATTTTACGTAACATCGCCGAAAGCTTTAGTATTCATAAAAGTAAATGCGAAGTGCGAAGAATGGGTAAATATTGGATCAAAAGGAGGTTCAGTCTGCAAAATATTATCTAAATATATCGTTTATTTTTAAGATACACAGATATCTTTTTCCATCTATGGAGGTTTAATGAGTCTATATAACCTCATTACTCGGCATACAAATATAACAATAAAAAAAAAAGAATAAGTACTAGTAAAGTGAGTGTGACAGATTACTAGTATACTAGCGAACTCCTCCTGCTAAGCTTGTGTTAGGAGAGAATTCAGAACGGTACTGCACTGGGTGTGGTTCAAACCCTAAAACATGACATCGCAAGTAACTCCAACTCCAACTCGCTATTACCAGCTAAACTTATTACTGTTTAGAGTGTATATCAGCTTCCACGGCAACATTTTTGGTCTTCGGTAGCCAGCTGCTGTTAGTTCGAATTAGACTGTACAGATGGCATGGTTGTGGTTCGAGCGGTCCCCCGCCGCTTCCTACTCCGCTGAATTTTGTGAGTTTAATTTCCACATAGGACATTACTGTGTGATCCACAAATCGTTGTTCTGTGTGTGCGAGTTCTTTGTGTCTGTTCTATGTATGTTTGTAGAGTCGGTTCATAACGGAAACATAGGTTTTTTAGAATATTAGATCACACTTTAATAGATATATGCTTATAATCTCGACTTTATACACACAGACAAATAGATGCTTCGTAATGTCATTTTATAAGAAGCAACAGAGAAGGGATTCCTCTGGCTTATAGCCAAGATGTAAGAGCTTTTATAGTAAACAAAATAAGTTTATATAACTCGTTTAGTATAACTTTTTTTTAATATCGCCGACTAAAATATACTTCAATCATCATGAATTGTAATATGCTGTATTTTCATTCCTTAATTTTATGCTTAGAGACGTAATTGATACTTCAAATTGGAATAGGGAATAACGAGGAACGCACGCAAAATCGATTGAGACAATCATCACCAAAAGGAGAGACTTGTTAAAGTCCTTGAGTAAAAATAAAATGCTTTTCTATCTGAGTAAATACTTGTGTATGATTTAGCGATACTTACGAGTAAACTTAAATTTCAACTGATAGTAAAATTAACGATTCATGCAATACACTCTACCTACCTCTATTAGGTCATCATCATCTGGTTTTACAAGACAAATGTCAAACTTTTTTCATCCATTATCTCATTATCATAAACTGGTACATTAATCTATCCTCTTCTTAAGTTTAAAATCATTATGAATGAGGTTTTTTTATCGACAGTTTGAAAATGATGTGAGGACTTCTTAATTCCTTTTTAATATACTGTCAATTTTCCCGCCTAAATCCTAAAGTGTGTATTACGTAAGTGGAAATAAAATAAAAATTAGCAAAATGTGGTTATTCATACAAATTGTATAAATATTGATACCTAATACAATTTGATTATTTATTTAATAGAATCTCAATTGACTGATTTAGGTTACTATTAGAATAGAATAGAAATATAAACTTTAGGTATTGTACACAATCAAAAGTATTATTACAAGAATACGAGTACAATAAGTGCAATGTACAGCTCGGCCTTTCGTAAGAGAACATTTTTTGTGGTAATAAATAAGTGCTAATTTATTAAAATAATATACATGCATACCATATTAAGAATACAATAAAGGTTGGTTATTCTGCGATTTTCGTTTCACGGAATTGTTGACGCGCCAAGGCCTCCACCCCGCTACGCGGGCGAGGGGGAGAACGCGGTGTCCCATTTTACCTTTTGTTCGGAATGAAACCAATATTAAATGCCAGGCATACTAATTGCCCCAAACCTGAGTAAACATGTCAGCTATTAAATTTAATGTAAAACGTTTTACAGATAATATAATTATGTTCTCAACGAATAGAGAGATAAAAACAACCTGTACACTGGCAATCACGCTCACATCGGTGCATCTTATCATTCTTATCAAATACTCAGCGTGCATCGCGCTATTTCTGAGCGGGTAGCAACAGCGCATGCGCGCTCAACCGACGCGAACGCAATGTTTTATTTATAATATAATTCGTATGATTCAGCTTTTTGTTCAGTTAGAGAGAATAATTAAATATAATTACTTGTAGATGTGTAAGTAGTTAATTTAATTGCATTTAGAGTGTATATTATAAGTCACGATATGACTAAACGGTATTTGTAAATTACTGCATGAGTCATGATTTACTACTAATAAATACTAAAATATTAATCACAATAATACCATCTCGCGTATGGTGCACAAACTTGGTCGTTGACTGGGCAGCAGAGGTCCGCTCTATATGTTTGCCAGTGAGGCATGGGCTTAGTATTCTGGGCGTATATAAACACTAATCACAGATGACACCATAAAGCCGCCAAAATTAAGTAGGACTGGACCGGACACATTTGCCGCATGACGATGGATCTATGTGCAAAAATTTGCACAACTTGGGTCCCACAAGAAGCTAAACGGCAACGTGGTAAACCCAGGCGATGATGGCGGGACGATCTAGACGGCGACGGAAGATTGCTCTGAATTAGCACATGACAGACAGATGTGGAAGGTAGAGAGGGAGGCCTTTGTCCTGCAGTGAGACAACACTGGCTAAACGTCGTTTAATACTCTACTTATAATTTAGTACCTACTAATACTGTCTTTGCCCGCTCCTAAATACAGGATTTCTATTATTATTTACTATATTTTTGACAATTTGTTTGCAAAATGTCATAATAATAAAAAAACTAATTCACATTCTCGTTCTACCTTGTTATAAAAAAACATGTTATAATATTAAGTTTCGTAATTCGACTATCTAACTCTTAAAGACAGATTTATCAACAGGTTTTCCACTTCACATAGGTACATGATTGCGTTGCCAAGATGTTCAAAATGTAATTCAAAGATTGAGCCTTTTACAGATGCGTGACTGAATCACGTCACCAAGTGATTGCACTGACTCAATCTCTTAAAACTAAAGGTTTTTATTGCAAAAACGCGGGCGCACTGGACGAAATACTTAAATTTGTTTTCGTGTGTCCTGGGAAAGCCATGCTTTTCGAACAAATGGGCCGGCTCGGTCGGAGTGATACCATGCCAATGATATTATTAAAAAACAAGAGGTAGATACGCCAACAACGCGCAAAACGCGAGGGCCCAAATTAGGACCACTGCGAGCGAGTGCACGTACCAATTAATTCGAGAAAATTCATAAATACACAGGAAGGCATTTTATGAATTTACACAAATTAAGTACAGTACAGTAAGTAAAGGAATATTATACCAAAGGTAAGTGTATGTTTTGTTCTAAAATGCATTAGT